GAAATACTTGATGTTCTTGGCGGTGAACGTGAGTCACTGAATGTGATCGCCATTTCTAATGAGACTTCTCCATAGAGCTCTGTCCAATGCCTCTGCCTCATCTAGATGTTTCTCCCTCATATCTTTTGGAACACATCTTTCCATCTGGTCTTAGGCCTTCCTCTTGGTCTGTTTCCTTCTATTTCCATTTCCATTGCCTGTCTTCCCATACCATCGCAGTCTTGATTCCTGAACATTCTTTGATATTTCTGTTACCTTAAGTGATCATCTTTTATAGTTATTCCGTATGCAGTCCATCTTTGTTACCCCCACCATCCATCTGAGCATTTTCATTTCATCAACATCCAATTTTCTTTCTTCAACTTTTCTCATCGGTGCAGTTTCTAAACCATAGGTCATAGCTGATCTGACCACAGACTTATGCACCTTCCCCTTCAACTTTACAGGTACTCTCTTGTCGCAGATCACTCCCGAAACCTTTCTCCAATTATTCCATCCACATTGAATTCGGTGTTTAATCTCTCCTCCCATGCTGCCATCTTCCTCAACCATTGCTCCCAAATACTTAAAGTGGTCCACTCTCTTCAGGTTCAATCCATCTATTTGTATCGTTGATTGTTGATATCCTGTGTCCGTTGTGAAATACTCGGCACTCTACTCTCCAATGTAGTTCTCCATCCTTCCATCTTCCTCTGTAGCTCCTGCTTCGTCTCCTCCGATGTCATCGGCATACAGTATGCATCATGGTGGCTCTTCACGCACTTCCTCTGTCATCACATAAGCACATTGAACAGTATTGGGCTGAGGGCCGAGCCTTGATGCAAGCCAACCTTAACCTCAAACCCATCTGAATGTGATCACCAACCCCGCAAAATGTGAAGTGATGCATCTGTGCCCCCAAAATGTCCCCTCATATACCCAGATCTACGCTTGATGATACTTGCTTCCTGTTGTATATGAAGTAAAACTTTTGGGGGTCTGCATGAACAGTGAACTAAATTGGAAATCACACGTGGACCATGTGATAGCAAAGGCAAATCATTGCATGTTCGTGTTGTACCGTGGCAAAAACTTTCTCCATCGATACCATGCACACCCTATACCTGTGGTACATATGCAAGGGGCTGGAGTACGCGGCCTCGAGGTACGGCCAGAATACCCATAGATTCGCCAAATCCAGTGATTTTTAATGGAATTTGCTCATCGGTGGACTCATTCCACTGGACTTTCGCCTCTCGTTCAAAGCGATGGGCATCCACTCGTTCGAGGCGATGGGCACCCACTCGTTTAGGGCGATGGGCAACCACTCGTCCTTCGACGGACGAATGGAAAAAAACATATATTGAGAATCTATTGTAAGCATGGCATGCATATATTTTCATCTTAAACTATGATTATTATTATATTTTTAGAATCATTTGGACTTATATTACTAAATATATCAATACTTATGTTCATATTTAAACTAGAATATGAATAAAAAGTAAAAAGAAAAGCTTAGACCATCGATTACCATTTGACTGGCGAATGTAAACAAACGAGTGGCCGCCAAATTCAAATTGTTGAGACCGCAGATCTAGTAAATATTCGAAATGTGGAATTCCAAAGCAATTTACTCCTGGAGAAAATGAGAAAGGAAGGGGTGCTTTTGAACACCAAGCATCCATTTTACCACAAAAATCTTTAAACGGACCTTGTTTGACAAGATATACTCAAGAGTTGATGTCGAAGTATCCACAGCTTCCTGGACTGACGACAGGTAATGTAATAAACTTGTTCTTTTATGAATAGATTAATGCTGTTGATTTTATATAATGTTTGTCTACTTTATAATTCATTTAGGACTAGATTATTGTTGCTTTTGCGAGACTATTTTCGGAGATTGCATGATAGAGGTTTAAGCTGTGTACAAAACAAACTTTTCTTTTGGGATGTCAGTTTCTTTTTTCTTTGGCTAGATTGGGTTAAGTAAAAAATTGGCCATCCCTTATATGTATTTGTAAGTTATACTATACACATTCTAAAACAATCAACAAACATATTTTGTATGTGATATAGAAACTATTACTTAACATAATATTGATTAAAATATTGACAAATTTGGCAGAACTTGCAAAATACAAAGCCAATTCACATGATTGTTTTCAGTTCAGTAATATACATGATAAAAAAAAAATGAATTATATATGTATTAGGGAACTGAATTATTAGGGCTTGATTTTCTTTCACTACTGCAATTTTCTCTTTCCACATGTATTTATAATATACCCTATGAATTTACATATTTACACAAAAAATGCATAGTAACCATTTGTAAATTTTATCGGGGGATAAAGTAACAAAAATAATATCCGAACAACCTTTAATTATGTGTAAAAGTAGAAATAGTTGCTCTTAATTTTTAACTTTATTAGTTTGGGATTGTTAGTAAGGAATTCTTATTCAATATTGCTTTTAATTTCTTAATTCTTGGCCCCTGAGAGTAATGTCAAATTTACAACCTTTATTATGGCAACTGATTTTTTAAATTCTCGTAATTTAAGTATTGAGTTTTTCTAGTTACTCAGTTTTGGAAGTCAACCCAAAAATACAGGTTATCAATTATAATCAGAAATCAGCATTGCTTATTCTAGGCTTTGATCTCTGACATTTAACTGGATGTTATTCCCTAAGTCCTATTTATTTATGTATGTGTCATCTACACAAGAGTCTTCTGATGTTTTTAATTTAATATTTCCTAATATTTGCAGGTGATGTAATGTACAAGTTCCAGTGTCAGAAAATACTGCGGAAAAGGAACAGTATCAAAAAATGCTGCGGAAATATAAAAATACTCCGAGTGGTTCAGGGGCTCAAGTTTCTTACACCATGATGACTTAGTAAGTACGGCTGAATGTTTAAAGTGTTAAATTTATCATTAATACTTATTGTACTCACATTAAAATATTTGTAGCTAAGCAATAATATACATGGATTAAAAAAATAAATATATATTTTCTAAACGCTTCATTTTAAAAGGAGTGTGAGATGAAATATAATTCTTTGAAAGTTTTTGAGCTTGAATTATTCTAAATTTTGTGAATACAAGCCTTAACAGTGCATTTTATTTATTTTCATAAAACAAGTGAGGAAATGATGGCATTCGAGGGAGCCGTCGAGGAAATTCCCAATAATTGTGAAGTAATTTGACTAATCTCCTCTTCGTCAGGATCTACTCCTTCCCCTCAGCCTGTTATAACCGAAGGAGTCATTGTGGGAACACCTGTAGCTACTACTAGCTATGCTGGAAACCCATCAGTGAAAGAAAGAAAGAGGAAAATGAGCAGTGATCCACTTGATGAGATGATGACAAAGGCCACTCGCAAAATGGAACAGACATGGACTGAACACTCAAGGCTGCCAATCCGCTACTGAGGCAATAATGAATCACCTTGCTTCTGATGACTTGAAGATGAAGTTATCTTTTTCATTTATGGAACTTGTCACTAGAACACAAAATAGCCTAGAAATGTAGCGACAAGTACTTTATTCATTCAGTGAGTTTAGGGTACATATATATACTATTGTTATATATTTCCTATGGACAATACTTTAGATTGTCATTCTATTTTCCAAAATAAAATACAAAAAGAGATTTTATTTTCTTTACCCTTTTTTTGGTATAAGGACACTATTTATTTATGAAAATTTGTTACATTTAATGAGAAAATTAAAAGTACAGTTTACTACTTTATACCTTAGGTATGAGTTTTTTAGCTTTAATTATACTTTGACATTGAATTGTTATATTCTGGTAATTTTTAACAATTTTATGTTCTTTTTTTATTTATAGTCATTAGCATTATTTGATAGCGGTTTGAAAGCCACATATTTTTGGGGGGTTACTTGGCCATGGATTGAATCACAAATCAATCTAATCATTTTGATTTATTACCAAAGGAACTATGGTAAACAAAAACATGAATATAATATATTCATGTATGTGCCTTTAAATGAAATTAGGTATATTAACGGTAAAATATGATAAAGTAACAATCCCTAAAATATACTCTATAATTTAAAAACAGTCCAGTAGGAAACAAAACTGAAACTATATCACATCAGAAGACAATTTGATTTATTGCAAGAGGGCAGCATCACGAAACTCTGCCTCTGCCATTGAAGTAGCCTTCGAAAGTATTTCTTATTGCCAAGATATCATTGGCAAGTCTTCTTCTAACATTACCAAGCCTCTGAATTATAAACACTGCATATTCAAAAAGAAAAACTGTCAAAATAAGCTTCTTCACATTATAGTATTTTTGGGGAGGATATGCACATTATAAATATTTCACTGAGTAGCACAAATAATACACAAACATTTACATAATTTACAAAGTACAGTAAGAGACACAAATTCTGTACAGAATAAAGAAAACCGTCACTTACCAAACATTTACACAACGATTTTGTACAAATGACATTTTGAGAGATTATTAACCTTATTGACTGAAAACACCTATATGTCCGTGGTTACTTAATATCACTGATCACTTTATAAAAAAAAATAACTAGGGAAAATTTGTAATTAATTACGAAAATTATTATATATCTAAAATATACATAGAGGTTGAGGAATATATATATATAAACAAATATATATTAGTAAAAATATGAAGAACTGTAAATTTACGACGATTTTCAATGTTGCACTGGCCAATGAACATTCTTGTTTGAAACGCTTCTAGGCTCGAACTCCACAGTTCAGTGAACAGAACATTGTTGTAAATTAGATTTTCATACATATGTATATATACACAAAACAAATGTGCGTTAAATAATGATACAAAAAAAAAAAAAAAAAAAAAATGTTGTACATTCTACCGAAATCCTCTACATATACATAACAGCATTATTCATATATGTATAGTTTATATATATATATATATATATATATATATATATATATATATATATATATATATATATATATTAACATATATATCTATTTCCAGGCCTTCGATTCCGTTTGAAGGAAATGAATTTGCTGTTTGCTGCTGTGCTGTGCTGGTGCTGCCTTGGTAGCTGCAGAGGTGATGATGGTACTACAATACTTTTCTTTATAATAATTGTATTGAATGCATGCATTTTGATATACTGGAATCTCTCTTAGTTAAATAAATTAATCAAAATGCGTTGCTTTTCGTATTGCTATATCGCCTGCAGGATGTATCGTGTCTGAAACAAGCAACAGGAGAGCTATCATAAAAGAGGGATTCCCGGGTACCGTTTTCTTGTTGCGCGAAGGAGAACTCGAAAGAGTATTCCTGAGGATGTTTATGAAGAGAATCGACGTTGGTCTGGAGATCAAGACGATAACTCTGCAACAGGAAGATCTGCCGCTGAATAAACGCTTTCAAGATATCATCATTTCATCTGATTCCGTAAGATCCAATTTCATTACGATAAAAACGGGAGCAGAAATTCTGATAATATTAAGTGCAATGAAGCCAAACTCAACACACTGATATGTCTAACGATTAAAGTGTGACAAGTTGAAAAAAGTCAATAGTGCAATACAGGACTCCGGTATTTGTCTCTTGTTGGCTATTGTTTCACATTTTTTTTCTTTTCCAAAAATAGAACATAACAACGGCGACATAACATTCCCCGTGGCTCTGCCTTACTCCTCATCGCATCTCCCCCCTCAGGAAGGCCACCCAAGCATGTCCCTTCCCAACATCACCGAGAGGACCTTCACCTGCTGCCGGAACTTCGAGATCGAGAAACTGGAGGTGCAGTCGGAGGGCGGTGGCGTCTGGCTCTTCTACAGGTGTCCAGAGACCATGACCAAAAGGAAGCTTCAAAGGATTACCTCCCTCAGCTCGGAAGGCAGTGACAAAGGTCAGTACGTATATATATATATATATATATATATATATATATATATATATATAGCCTATATGTTATAGATATACATACATACATACATATATACATATATATATATATATATATATATATATATATATATACACATATATATATATATCTACATTTATATATATATACACACACACATACGTGTATATGTACACACACACACACACACACACGTTCCCGAGAAGTGTAATAATGCAATTAAAGCGAATGAATGCCATCGATCGATTGTGATTTGCGAAGTTCTAGCTTCGCCCGGGCCTTCGGCTATGGCCCAGCCTGTGTCAGCTTATTAGGGCTGACTCATTTCGATCTGTGGCTCTCGGTGCTTACCGTGGCGGTGGGATTGCCAACAGGCGCTCCTGCTGCCACGGGGTAAGCGAATCGCAAAGTCTCTTTACCAGCACGGCGGCTGTTGTCTGGGGTCCCTGTCTCAGGAATTGTGTGTGTACACAATTCTCTAAGTAATGTATAAGTGTGGCGTTCGGCTCGCCGCAATGCATGCAACACCTCTCTTCATGGACAATGGTCTCAATTATCTGCCATTTACAGTGGTAACCTAGGCGCATTCTGTGGAGAATGACTTCGGTTTGTCTGTCTTTTAGCTCAGAGAGTGCCAGTGGTTCATAGCCTGTTGCTTCTGAATACCATCTGGCCGAGGGGGAGGATCTCGTTGCCTCTCTGTGAAGCTGCAGGAGGAAGGAGTTGGCGACACCAGTACTCTTCATCCGAAGTAAATTACGGCTAGGTGCAATGATCATGGGACTAGGGGGCATACCCCTGCCAGAGACTGCTAGTCTGTCAGCAAGTTCGTTCCCTCTGATGCCAATGTGGCTGGGGACCCAATTAAGGATGATTCTTCTACCCTGAGCCAGTATTCTTTGGGCTATTGTTAATATTGTGGTCAGGAGGTAGATATTGTCTTTGGGTGAGCTGAGCTTGGGAGAGTCAATGGCTGCCCTAGAGTCAGTGTGAATGACTACGTGTCCTCCCAAAGCGGACGCGTGGGCTAGGGCTTCCATGATCGCAACGGCCTCTGCCTGTAGCGAGGAGGCGTTGTCTGATACCCTCATGGAGCGCATGGCATCCCTTGCTGCAAAGCCGGCGCCTGCAGTGTGGTTGGCTGGATCGACCGATCCGTCCGTGTAGTAAGTTCTACTACCCGGGGGGGTGATGGCTGATATGACCCTGTAGGTCTCTGTCTTTAGACCAGGCGTGGGATATTCGGTCTTCTTGAGCGCTAATCTCATGACCGAGAACTCTATCGAATTTTGTGCCCATGGCGGGGCTTCGACAAAGTCAGGGTGGGGGGAGTCCATGCCCTTGGTCAGGAGCTGCTCTTTGAACACAAAGCTTATCAACACCCTGGCTGTGTGGGACAGCCACGTGTTGTTGGCAAAGAGCTCGTTGTCTTGTTCCAGGCGTCTGGCTAATTTTTCTCTTAGGCTCGTGTTCCTGGGAGCCTGGAGGACCTTTGCAAAGAAGTTGGCTGCCATTTGATCGATTCGTGAGTCCAGGGGGAAAAGGTTGGTCTCCATCAGGAGGTTGGGAACCTTTGACCACCTCGGGGCACTCAGAATGATTCTGGCAGCTTCGTTTTGGACTGTTTCCAATTTTTCTCTGTATTTTTTCTTTCTGCCAATTAGAGCGACTGAGGCGTAGTCCACAATGGGCCTGACAGCATGTACGTAGAAGGCTCTTAGTACTTTGTGTCTGGCTCCTATGCGTCTCCCAGTCATTACTCTCATGACGTTCAGTCTTGCTTTGCATCGGTCGACCAGGTACTTGGTCTCCTGCCGGAAGGAGAGGGTCCGGTCTATCCATACCCCAAGGTATTGGAACACCGGGACCCATTCCAAGTCTACTCCCTGGATCCTCAGACTTGTGCCTTGAACTCGTTTTCCCAGAGCCATGGCCTTAGATTTGGCTGCTGAGATCTTAAGTCCTGTCCTGCAACACTCCTCGGACACAAGGTCCAGACAACGCTGGGCTTTACTTAGGCATTGTGTCCCAATGGCGGTGATGGCGAGATCGTCCGCATACGAGACGATCTTGCATCCCGACGGGAGGTTCATGTTGAGGATACAGGACATGAGTACGTTAAACAGGGTTGGACTGAGAACCCCACCCTGCGGTGTCCCATTTTCCAGTGGCAAGTGCTGCGATAGGTGACCCTGGAACTTCACTCTGGCAGTTCTGTTCCTAAAGTAGTCACCTATCCAAGCCAAGAGCTTTCCTCGGATTCCCTTCTGGGCCAGGGCCTCCTGAATAGCAAGAGGGCTTGCTAGTTCAAAGGCCTTTTCCAGGTCCAGGAATACTGCCACGGCTGAGGTTGTGCTCACTGTGCTCAAGAGCGTGGCTATGCTGTGTGCAGTGCTCATACCCCTGGTGAACCCGTGCAGGTGTTCGTGCGGGGGTCCCATTTTCCACAGGAGCCGGTTCAGTACCATCCTCTCGGCCGTCTTGGCCAGACAGCTGAGGAGGGAGATGGGGCGGTAATTCCCCGGTTCCTTGGCTTTTGGGATGGGAACTATGGTAGCCCTCTTCCAGCTCTGCGGTACAGAGGAAGATTCCCAGGACTTGTTGATGAGCTGCAAGAGTGCGAGTTCACCTTCACGTCCTAGGCGGGAGATAATGGGATACGTGATCCCATCAGAGCCCGGGGCTGTATTTGAGCTGAGTTTATATGCTTTTCGGAGTTCCCTCAGAGAAAAGATAACGTCTGAGTTATCGGCTTCGGCTGCCCTTTCTCTGATCTGAGCAAGTCTGTCTGCTTTCAGGCTTTCTTGTTTGGCCCTCAGCTCAGCTGGTAGACTGTTGCTGCTTGTTCTCTCAGAGAACTGGTGCACCAGTCTGTTTGCCTCTGCTTGAGGGTCGTAGTGCGTTCGTCTCGGGGCTGAGCGGCTGGTAGCTCGCCTGACCCGTTGCCACAGCTCTGAGACGGTGGTTTGGTGGCTGAAGGACTCACACCATTCCAACCATGTCTCCTGCCTGACTCTGCTGGCAGTTTCCTTGGCATCCCTGACAGCCTCCCTCAGCAGTGCGAGGTTGTCGGGGGTTCTTTGCCTTCGGAACAGTTTTCGGCACATGTTCACCCTGTGGTTGACCTCCCTGATCTCGTCGTTAAAGTACCAGGCGTCCTTGTGACGCCTGGACCCGGGCCGAGTTCTGGGTATGGTTAGTGAGGCTGCCTGGTTTATGGCTTGTACCAGTCTGGCTTCCAGCACATCCACGTTTTCGGCTTGTGTGGATTCGTTGCCTCTCAGACAGTGAGCCAAGGCGTTCTGAAACGCCTGCCAGTTGGCCTTGTCTGTTTTCCATCTTGGATTCGGTCGTGGGATTTCGGTTGGGCCTGCGTCCATGAGGGTGGTTACCGTCCCAAAGTGGTCACTTGTGACAGTCTCATCAACACACCAGCTAATCCTGTCCACCAGAGTCGCAGTGACCAGGGTGAGGTCTAGGACCCCACACATGCGTTGGCTCTCTGGTGTTGAGGAGAGCGATCTCGGGGAACATCTCCAGCACGCTGGCTATGTGGAGGCCAGCCGCATCTGGTCCCCGGCAGGGAGCTAGGATGGGATGATGTGCATTGAAGTCTCCCCCAATGATCACCATGGTCTTGTGCAGCAGACGCACAGACCTGGCTAATATCTAAGCTACTACAGCCTGGCCGGTTGTACACGTTGTACAGTTTGAGGGGGCCCCCGGCCAGGTGGATCTCTACGGCGAGAGATTCTGTCTCTTCTCCACAGTGCGGTGCATCGGCTATTGCGGAGCAGGGGATTGTTGCTTTGACAAGGGTGATCAGGCCTCTTTTGCCAGGCGTTTGTGGCAGCGTGAACGCGTGATACCCTGCGAAGCGAACAGTGTCCGCCGTTCGTGTCTCCTGGAGCATGACAACGTCGATGCTCCTTGATTGCACTACTGCTTGGAGCATGGCATTCCTTCCGGAAAAGCCATTTATGTTCCACTGTAGGATGCTTAGATTGTGTGCAATGATGTTACTAGTCGATAGTTACATCTGAGACCCCGTCACAATCCGACCCCAACATCGCGAAGTCCTCTTCGGCTGAGAGTTCTTCGTCTGAAGTCAGGTTAACCGTGGGTCCACTGGGGGGTGGAGAGCCTTTGGTAGCTTTGACTTTGGAGGCTTTGGCTTTTCTCGCAGGCCTGTCTGCACTTCTTTTGGCTGGCCTTGCCGGGGCAGGCTCAGCACGTTCTGGCTCTGGCTCTGCAGACTCGGCCTGTTGTGGCTCTGCCTGCGATGGGCTTGCCTGGGTTGGAGCTGGGAGGGGAGTCTCGTCCTGAACAGAGGCAGACGCTGGTTGTGCTTGGGCCTGCTTTCTGCCTTTCAGGATCGCGACAGTTTTGGTCATTGCCGTCATGGCGACCGTCACTGCCTTCTCCGCCTCTTCCCGTGTCCTCCCTAGGGCTGTCGCCACTGCTGTCACCACAGCAGTCACGAGCAGAGTCATGTCTGCCTCGTCAAAGAGATCGTCATCTCTTGACGAGGGCTTTTCTGCCTTCTTAGAACCTTTCTTCCTTTGGTTCTTTTTCTGTTTCGGCATGTCCGGAAACTCCGTTGGGTTGGAGACGTCCGGTGTCGACTGTGGGGCGGCCTCCTTCCTCTTAGGAGGTCGGGAGGCCTTTTCACTTTTCTTCCTGCCCCACACATGAGTGCCTGGGGGGGCAGGAATGAAATCGGATCGCTTCTCAGCAATCTCTTGTCGCTTGAGGGCCGCCTCTTTCCTGACAGAGCAAGTCAGGCTCCAGGCGTGATGCCTCTTGGCGCAGTTGGGACATTTGGCTGTTGTCTCCTTTTTCTCTTTGTGGGCCGTGAGGCATACCTCGGTGTTGTGTGCCTTACTACAGACACCACATTTAGGCTTGGCTGTGCACTTAGCCTGGTGGTGACCGTATTTTTGGCACTTGAAACACCGAAGTGGTTCGGGCACATAGGTCCT